TTTTCCTTTTTTAACATTTTATTAGGGGCTCATACAACTGTTATCCCAATCCATACACGAAGCAAAAATTTTTTGAGAATTTCTATCCGCAACCCTTCCTGTGTGGCTTAAAACATAGCTCTCATTTACAGAGAGGACCTGGTTTCTTTTTTTTTTTTTCCTAAATCTACATTTATATTGACTAAAATGTACTCTAGGTAATACACTCTGATCAATTGCTCACTGTTTAAGAGGTTTTAAAATTCAGGATACTAATTAGCTTGCTATTTGTTATTACATGGGACTCTCGGACAACTTAGAAACTTATTAGCAATGACTGAATTTGTATTATGCGGAGGTGAGGATGTAAATTAACTTTTTGAATTTTTTCCCTGGCTACAATTGCTGATGATTGACTCCTAATTATTGGATTCCTAATGATTGATGCACCAAACTCACTGTCATTGAGCTTATTCTGGCTCAAACGAGCCCAGGAGGCATAGTGCTTAGGTGTTGGGCTGCTAACCACAAAGGCAACAGTTCAAAACCCTTAGCCCCTCCTCCCGAGAGAGAAGAGAGAGACACGCCTTTCTATTCCTGTAAGGAGTTATAATCTAACAGCAACAACAAAAAGATTTACAGTCTCAAAAACTCAGTGGTAGTTCTACCTGTCTTGCAGGGTCTCCACGAGTCAGAATTGACTCAATGGTGGGGGTTGGTTAGGAAGGACTGGTTTACTCCTAATTTATGCCAAAGGCCCGTGAGCAGGCCCAGCGTCTCACGCTCACACATCTGAAACGGATATTTATGCTTTCAATGTAACATTTTCATTGTGATTGTGTATGTGCACCTAAAATCCAGCGTGGCCTTAGCCTTTGAGATCAGGTTCTATGTTGCTGCCCAAAGGGAATCCTTATGAATGGAGCACAGTTCTTGCGTCCTTTGGTCTATCTGGTATCTATTTTGGGGTTTGAACCAGTTAACTTTAAAATTAGCAAAATACTGCTGAACACAAATTGAGGGAACTAAATCCAGGTTTAAAATAGGCTTCTCCCTTTCAAGGCATGTCCTGCTGTCTTTCTTGGTAGCCTCCAGTATAAACCCAAGTGCAAACGAGCCATCTGAAAGCCTCCGTAGGAGAAGCATTGTCCTCCTCTCAGATTATACGAGTTTATATGAGTTAACATCCTTCAGCTCCCACCTTCTACCTAAGAATATATTTTTATTTAAAGTAAATGTTTATCTGTGTGAGTAACCAGGTTCTGGTTATTAGACCCACACACGTCTATGACTTTGCTTGCTCTTTCTCTCCCTCACAGTCTGCCAACACTGACTGAGGGGTTGAGTTGTTCCCAGTTACAGTTCATTCAGACAATCCCCATACTGGAAAGTCTGATATTTTTGGATCAAATGAAGGGGTCAGAAATGAATGTAAGTGAGGCAAACTTTTAATCAGATATGATTTGAGTATACAGTGCTATAGTTTAGTTGCAATAGAAAAATATAAAGGCTTAAAAGGTCTAAAGTATCTTGGGGTCTTTTTCCATTTTAAAGTGAACTGAGCAATTCTGTTGGGCTGAGGATTGACAACATCATGGAAACCGAGGAAACGGCAGACTTTCTCCCCTGGCGACTGCATTAGCAACGGAGCTCCCACTGCGGCTTAGGGGTGAAAAGAGCATGAAGGCGTTTTCTGTTTTCCCACGAGGGCCACATTCCCACAGCTCTCGGCCAGTTATCCTCAGCTACTACCAAATTGCAGTTATTGGAAAACATTATCTACCCTGTAACCCCTATGGATACTGAAAAAATGGTGGTGGTTGGGGGTGGGGGTGGTGGGGGGCGGCACATTAGACCTCTGGCAACAGAATGGAGCAGGAGAACCCAACTGCACATCTGCCCAAGGATGACATGCGTTGGGCGTGCGTTCAGACATGCGTTCCGCCGTCCACTTCCTTTGCCCTGTTCTGACGCCAATCATCTCTCCCACAGCACTCCCCTTCTCTGCTGGCTTGGACAATCTGTTGCAATGGTCACACAGAATTCACAACAAAATTACTCACAATCGTGGCGGTTAATTAGGGAAGTTAACAGGTTACCGCAAGTTAGGATCTGAAAACATGAAGGAGACAGTTCTTTTGTCCACAGCAGTGTTTCTTCCTAGCCATGCCAGCCAGCCAAGTCAGCCTCTGATCCTAAGTATCTCAGCCGGGCAGCCCTTTAGCCTGTGCCCTGCTCAGGAATTGTTACAAAGCCCCCTAACTGCTTTTAAATGCCCAAAGGTCAGCCCACTTTGCAAGTCAGCCTCCTGCCTAAAGGTACCGAGTTTTACTCCTAAGGGCCTATCAAGCCACAGCTCTGTCTCATGGTCTTCATGTGGCTACTCTGTTTTGTTTCCTGGTCTCAGTGCAGCTGCCTCAGGTGCCTCTGCTTTCTCTGCTGCCTCTACCACTTCATGTAAGGATCTTACACACTCAATTGGTGGCTCTTCTTTGTTGATGGTCATTTCATCATTTGTTCCTGCTTCTCAGATGGCTTTCTTATATCCAGTGGAATGGCAAAACAGACCAGTCTCTGAGGTACAGTTCATATGTGCATGCTTCCACTCAATCATTCGGCGGGGGTTACCAGGACAAGGGATAGAAGAGTCAGACCAAGTAATTTCACTTCACTGCAGCTATCTGTTTTCCTTATAATTTGATTGCTGGCTGAGATAAGCACAATTAAAACTATTGCCAAGTATTGCCTTCAATTTATGATGTACATATAACTCACAGTATTGCTATGTTATAGTTGTCCTAAGTGTTTGTATATATGCTTGAGGACTGACGATGGTAAATGGTAAAAACAGTAGACAAATGTTTCAGTGTTCTTTGAAACTTTTATACTCCACAGCAGCAATCTTTATCTAGACAGAACTTTTACGGGATAAAATATGTAGCACAAACTTTACATGCAGTTCTTATATTACATAGACTTTGTGTAGAGTCTTGTTTTACTCACCAGAATCAAGAGGCAACTTGAGGCCAATTTTGTGTGTTCAGGGATGGTAGAAAACACTGACAAAATCAAGCAACCAAAGACAAGGAGAAAACTGCAAAACAGACAAAAGAGAAATTTGATCAGAATACAGATGTATCATTGCAGATGTAATTTCTTGTTGCTAATAAAGAAAGCACCAGACCCATGTGAATTAGCACCGGTTAAAGGGAAATACTTGGAGGGTCAGCTATTTTGAATATCAGATTCACTGCCATTAAGTCAATTTGGACTCAGTGACCCAGTAGGGTGGAGCGGAACTGTCCCTGTGGATTTCTGAGTCTGTAACTCTTTACCGGAGTAGAACCTGGCCTCTTTCTCCGTAGGGGCGGTGGGTGGTTTCGTACTGCTGACCTTGCGGTTAGCAGCCTAACTGGTAATAACCCACTATACCACTGGTCTCCTCTCTTCCCACTCACAGTGACCCTGTATGTTTCCAAGGCAAGTTCATTGCAATAGAGAACAAATGCAGTTCTGTGCAAATGTACTGATGAAGGAAAGGTTGTATGTGTGCATTGTGTGTTATATTTAAATATATAACCCTAACCACCTTTGAATTTCCCACACAACTGTGCTCCCAGGTGTGGATCCTGAGAAAAGCCTAGAAAGTGTTCCTGCTCTCTTATCCTGGGTAAACAGGTGACAGCGACCCTCCTTTCAAAGCACTGAACCTGCCTCCCTCCTGTTCGGCAGCTTTGATAAAAACCACCAAGTGTTCTGAGTGGTTGTTCCTGAGCCACTGGCTTATTTCCAGAGTCTGGTACTGCTCTGGGGTTCTGAGTTGCCGTTCCTTTATAATGAAAATAAGAACAGAAAAGGAAGTGAATAATTGTCTCTGCTATCCATGAACTTTCCATTTCCTTGAAAACAAACCCTTACTCATTGTAGCCATTCTCAGAGAAATGACCCCAGCACTCTGCCCGTTCTTGCTGTAGTGATAGGAAATAGAAGTCAGAAGCAGACGTTTTCTACCAGTTAATCCATAGTTATTATTTCGAGAAAAATGAGACTTTGGAATCTGCCGAGAGAGCAGCAATCTTAACGGAAACCTCTAGTGAACAGGAAAGCTTTGTTTCAGGGTTGGATTTACTTTGACTCATAAAGTAAGGACAGAGTGGAACTCCTCCTTAGGATTTCTGAGCCTGTCAATCTTTACAGAAACAGACAGCCTCATCTTTCTCCCCTTGGTTTCTTCTTCATGAATATTCGGTGTTGTTTAATCTTTTTCTTTCAAGCCATCATGTTTCTCAGTTTCTTTTCTGAGATACTCTCACCTGCCTTTCTTACAAGGGTGATTTTTGTGCCAGGATTTTGTCATTTCTACAGGGTCCATCTGTTGAACACACATCAAAAATCTGTCACTGTTGGGGATGCCCAAGGGGCGATTGATGGGCAAATTCATTCATTTACTTGTTCATGTACTCATGGTTTCATTCATTCAACTTTTAATCCATTTATATATTCAGCAAATATTAAGCATATCAGAACGTAATTTGTGAGCACAAGTATATAACAGCAAAATGGCAATTTTTCTTTTGCTCATGGCAGGATTTAAGTTCTTTTGAAGCATATCTTGTGTACAAAAGTAAATGAAAACTTCAATTTCGGTCTGATGATTACAATGATATGGAAAATACAAGAAAAGAAACTTTTAACTAGGAGTGTTTTTTAAACTCCCAGTGCCCACTGCAAAAGGAAAATTCAGTTCCTCAGTAGCCATCAACCGTGCAACCAAGTGGCCTGCCCATAAAACCAGTCCTGGGGGAGAGGAGGCTTCCTGGAGGGAGTGCTGACTTAACGGACACTCCAGGACCCGGCAACATTGGTGCGGGCAGGGACTGCACAGAAAGAGCACTTGAGCCTCATGAGACACTGTCGGTAAAGGCCAGACGCAAGAACAGAATCAATAATTAATTTATTAATAAAGGTTGTGACTACTCACTAGCTATTTTCGCATGCATGAGAAGTGTGTGATGGCTCATTTGTGAAAATTTGTTTTTTGCATAGGAATAATTTCAATTTAATTGACAACATGTATTGAACATTAATCATGAAAGACAGTATATTGAACACTGTAAGGGTTAGGAGTATACTTGAAACTCATTTGTACTCTTTTTGTTTTTGACATTTTATTGCCGGCTCTTACAGCTCTTGTAATAATCCATACATCAATTGTATGAAGCACATTTGTACATTTGTTACCAGCATCGCTTTCCAGACATTTACTTCCCATTGAGCTCTTGGTGTGAGCTTCTCTCCCTCCACCCCACCTCCACCCCTAATTTGCACTCTTAAAACATTTATAAAGTAGTGAAGTGGGCAAGGTGAATACATTGGACCATAAGGAGAGAGGCCGATGAAAAGCTGTAGAACCAGGAAATGACAACCCCAAATCAAACAGAGTAGAACTGCCCCTGTGGGTTCTGAGTCTGTCTATGTGTGTCAGGAGCAGCTGGTGGGTTTGAACCCTCAGCCTTGTTGATAGCAGCCCGACACATTCTCACTCAGACCACCAGAACTCCTTTCAGTGGGAGAAGGGGGGAACAAACCAAGAAGGTCTTCAAGAAGTATGGGGCTTGAGTTGGTTTTGAAGGGTAGGATTTTAACAAGAGAAGCCTTTAGGGGAATAGATCCCAGAAGGAGTGTACCATAGGAGAAAGACAGCAAGCTGGAAAAGAACCGAGGCAAAACATCTGCTGTTTTCCTAGAACATAAAGTTACCAAGTCTGACTTCAGCACAAGATAAGACAGGCAGCTGAATCGGGAGTTTGGGGCCTGTCGGAAAGGATGTGCTACAAGATCTGCATAGAGTTCAATCGACAACGAGGAACCAGGAAGCCAGGTACTATCACTGCCAGGGGTGCATCTGGGGAGAAGATTGGGGAGCAGAGGCTGGGAACGGGTTGTAGTGGCTGAAAAGTGAAAGATGGCTGAGCTTTCGTCTGCAGTTATTGGTGGTTCTCCGAGGGAGGAAGTCAAGAGGAGAAACTAATTTTGGTGAGAAGATGATAAATCCACCTTTAGACATTCACATGGACATGTGGATGTAAATCTTGGGCACAATATCTAGTTAGAGGTATGGAAGTACTTTTCCCTGGAACATGCTATCCTGATGAAAATGCAGACCCAGCACATAAAGTTGAGGAAAAGTTGGGCAAGTAAACATAAAGGCTATTTCAGGAACAATTCTTGATCTTGGGGAAGGATCTTAAAGACAGCAGCCAACACACACACTCTTGATAACTGTGCCCTCAACCTGAGACAGAATGACCCCTCTGAGGTCACGGGCCTGACGCGTGGAACTCATTGGCGGAGACGAGGCACAAGTTTACTTCTGCTTTTTCCTTTCCCAAGATTACAATAACAGCATTTCCAAATACTTCCTTTCAGTCTGCAACATGCGTCTTTTCTTTTTTTTTTTTTGCGTCTTTTCTTTTATACATTTAAAAAGAGTATTTTGAGGAGCGGTGCATAGCCTGCACTAGAGTGCTCAAAGTGTGCCCGGCATCCCAGAGACCAAGCTGGCTGCAGTGCTGCGGGTGATCAAGGGAGGGCTGCGAGTGCAGAAATGGCCCATTTGGCCGAGGTTAGCAATTTACACTGCTAAGTTTTATGATCAGCCTGAACACCATCAATCTTTTTTTTCCTTTTCTTTTCCACATTAATCCTGGGAGATCACAGGGCGGATATTCCTTCAAAATGATTCTGGAACCACCCTTTCGGTCCTTGTTTTCCCTGAAGCAATCCTTTCTATTTGGTTTCTGAGCAAATTCACATGGGTGCTGGTCTTTGATCCTAGACGCCTTCTATGGAAGACGCTGACGACTGTACAAGGAGAAGAAAGGCATTTAGGGAAAAAAAGTGATTTGTACAAAAGTGTGTACATTCACTCATGGGAACAAACTATCACCCACTTTTCTGATGGATTCATGATGACTCACTTTGTCAGATTTAATCTGATAAACGAGTCTTCCTCGGGGTTGGGGAACAGAGAATGTCCAGCTTCCCAAATTCATGCTTCACTCCTTAGGGAGACGATGCCTCACGCTTAAAGCCCATTAAAAGGCCACTTGCTGGAGTCACTTGTGGAAAAGTAAAATGATTGCTAACAAAAAGTCTTCGTGGAAGCTCAGCTGGTGCTTTGTCCAACGAGCCGTGGCACACCACGCTGTTGTCATCCACGAGCTGTGGCACACCACGCTACTGTCATCCACGCAAACACACAGCCCCCGACCCTCACAAACATGAATAATGCACACGTGGCAGAAACAAAGAAAGGAGAGTGGAGCAGGTGTTTAAAGAAGGCCTCTCTCTCAGGTGGGCCTGACACTTCAGGCAAATGAACAGCACAGGTTTGGGTGTTTACTGAAATGGTCACACATTTCCACCTAGAAAGCTGAGCTCTGTAAACATTTTGGCAGTTTAGGAGTTCCCAGGATCCGTGCAACTTTCCATGTAAATCCACTACACGAGTTACGAAGACTTGGAAGGCGGAGGGAGGGAAAGCTCTTAGGTGGAAGATATGGGGTTAAAATGAAAGATGCTAATAGAAAGTAGATAGTGCTTTGGAAAACAATTCTTTGGGGGGGAAACCAGCAAAGGAAATTCAACTGTGCCCCTGACATTTCATGAAATTTTAAGTGTTGCTTTGATAAAATATGCGCTTCGGTACATGTGATGGAAGACTTCGGTGAGCGCTCCATGAACTCTGATGACTGGCACACTCCTGCTGCAACCGTGACCACCGATGACCCGCTGGCCAACGAGGGCTTGCCTGGAAGCCATGGCTAGTGAAAGAACAATCTCATCATCAGAGGGACTGGCTGGGCCCACTTCTCCTTCCAGCATCCTAAATTTACCTTTCTTTCTAAACGTTGTCCTTTGTAAAATATCTTTTCTACATACTTCTTCTAAGAAAGAAGTGCATCTTGCACAAGGAATATATTCACAGTAATTCCACTTCCCATTATACAACAATCAAAACCAGATATAGTATAGTTAGCATCCTCAAAGGTGACTTGGACTATGGGATTAAAAACGATGCAGTGTGCTACT